CAATAAAGTTGATCCATTATATGAAAATATCTGGACACGACCTCCAAAAAACTACACTACGAAAAATTTGTAAAAAATTATAATTGAGTTTTAAATTTAATATAATTTTACACCTGATGATGGTTTAATAAAACCGAAACATGTTGTAACTGTTCCAATTGTAAATCGATTATTCGATATGGAACACAGAATGATATTTTAATTATCTTATTTTAAATACATTGTGATTTGACGGAATAACCATATAATTTAATTTTAATTTAATAAATCACAATATGACGCAACTACACTATTTTCCTAAGAAAGCTTCAGACCCACGGAGTTAAGGGTCTCTAAGAAAAACAAAAAAACACGTGTATTTTGAACCGCAATATGCTGCAATGAGGAAACTCTCCGTTCCAACAGCAAATAGATTAGCTGGTGTACCAGTAATGCTGACAAAATCTGAGTAAAGAGTTTTAAGGAAGACCATCTAATATTTGCTCTTGGTAATTTCCGCCAGAAAACCTTATATCAAACGCGTAAAGACAAGAAACAAAGAGTTGAGGTTTAGCTGTCTCGTACAAAGAGGCTTGGAACAGAAACGCAAAACAAAGCTATGATGGCGCCTATGGAGGAGCCCACGTTAAGGTCTGGCCAAGTTTGGGTTTGGCGGGAGTCTTGAATCTTGATACACTGAGATTGAGATTCCCGATCAGTACGCATCAGATGTCAAGTTTGCTCACGTAACGCAAGGACAGCATTAGAACTTCATTATAAATATTTTAAAATGCATTTATAATTATCTTATCCTTCCTTTTCTGAATGGTAACTCATCTGTATAAAATTATATAAAAAATAAATTTCGTACAGACGAGCATGGGAAGCCAATAACTTAGTCATTTAAATTAAACATAAAAAGTTGAGTTTGACCTATACAGAGGGAGTCAAAGGAATTACTGTCGAGCCATGCATTGCTTTGTGTGGTTCTCATTAAACAGGCGGCAGTCACTGGACTTTAATTAGTTTCTGACTTCCTTAAAAAACAAATGCCGGCAGCACGAAACATCCATGAGACACAGTCTTTGTCGTACCAAATTACACTTTCCATGGATATTTTGTCCTCATCGCTCACTGCATGCGAGTAGCTCACCACGGGTGGATACAATTTTAATGCCCTACTGAAAACAGTGGTAGTTTATTAAGGGCATTGCCAAACATCCAGAACTAGACAGATCAGCAAAAGTTATTTTTTTTTTTATTTATTTAGTGTTCTGTCTGACGACAGGTCCATATGAACAGGATCCTTCCATCCTTTTCTCGGACTGGGACCTGTTCATATACGTTCTTGGCAGATGATCCAGAAGGTGTTTGCCATTTCCTTCTTCTGTGTG